TTGGAAAGGGGTGGTGGTGATTTTATGAACTTCATGGGTGGGGAGTAGGCTGTCTTTAACGTCAATGGGTGTGACGCAATGTTGGACGTCACTTTTACTGTTGAACGTGTCACTACGTCATTAATTTGAATTTTTTTTAATATTTATATATATTAAGAAGGTAGAGAAAAATTTAAACCATTGACCTCATGAATTCACAAGATAATAAGTATCATTAGAGTAAAAATTTATTGGTACATTAATTTGAATAAGATTATGATATATTTTCAATATTATACCAAAAAATAATCGAACCATAATAAAGTAAAAAAATATAAAAGTGAGGTATTTATTTTTTGGTGTTGTGCCATTTTTTAATTTTTTTTAATGTAACGGTCAAGGATGTTAAATTAACTTACGCGCACGTCAACTAATTCATTCTCAGTCCGATTAAAGACAAATCATTCATGTCGAGAGTAGGATATTTATGAGAAATAAATTCATTATAACCTGACTACAAAAAATTATCAAATTTTAAACTCAAAACGACTAAATTTACAGATCATTCCTATTATCACTTGAGTTGTCTTCTAGTTTTTTTTTTTTTTTTTAAGATGACCTTTTATTTGAATATAGGGGAAAAAAAGTCAAACAAATAGAAAACAAAAACTTTCTTTTAATTTGCAATTTTTCTTTTGGCTTGACAATAATAGAGACCGTTGAAAATAACAGTCAATGATTGAGATTATCTGATCTAATTTTTAAATTCATGTAGCATTACTCTTATATTAATTACTTTTGTAAGTTTTACTCTTGTCTATTAAATATTTCAAATGATTTGTTGGTGAATGATTACATAAAAAATAAATGTGATTTTAGATAAAATCGTCTCATAAAATTTTACTAAACCCATAAAAGATTCATTTATAATCATGTATAAGTGGGTTTATATATTACATAAATATTGTAAAATCGATTTTATAATGATTTATTTACTAAATGAATGTGATAGATTAATCTTGGTATAATCAAATTAGTTCACAACAAACAACTGCAGGGATGTTGACCACCGCTCTTATCTGTCGGTCTATGACCTTTAGTTTTTCTTGTGCATATTTTAATTATTTTCTTATTATTTTATTAATGATAGTGAAATTCCGTCGTAAGACTTACAATAATAAATTTTTTGGTATTTCGATAAAGAATAACACCTTCTTCTGACCTTATTCGATTGGTGTTAATATGAAAAAAAAAATGCTTAATTTCTAAGTTAAGATTAGGCGATCTCTTGCTCCTGTTCTTCTAACTCGTTGTTCTTGTTAGATGAGTTCTATCTCAGAAGACAGTCAATCCAAATCCAAAAATAACTGTCTGCTTCACTTAAATTCCCGCCCTCAGTCTAAATGGACACGCTAATTGGCACTATATTTCAAGGGCTGGGAGGTTTATACACTAGTGGTTCTCTCCATTAAACCCTAATTTAACCTTGCACACTATAACAATTAAGTTTTTGTAGTGAAAAAATAAATTCGTATTTCGTCACTAAAAAATTTCAGCGATGATTCTTCTGATGTCACTAGGTGATCATTTGTCGCTAATTTAAATGGATTGCTACCTCACATGTTAATGATCCACGTTAAATGGAGCATATGAATGGATGCGTTGAAGTTGGAACATTTTGAAGCGGACAGAACCTTCTAAATTAGAACCAACAAAAATCCATCGAATAATGGTCCCAAAAAAAATATTAAAACCCATTATTAATTGAATAATAATAAATAAGTAAATTAATAAATTCTGTACGAATAATATTTCTTATAGAACATTTTTGTTCAAAGATGGCCGAGAAAAAATCTCGAAGATAATTTAAGTGATAACAGAGACGAGCTGTCAACTCAGATTTTTTGAATTCAAATCTTGACAATTCTTTGATTATTCTCTGTGAATAATCTAATTCTGACGTAGATAATTTATCTTTAATTAAATCGATGATGAGATTAATAAAAATGTGTGTAAATTGACCGAGACACACCAAAAAAAAAATATGAATGAGAAGTGAGAAAGGTGGCGCAATTTTCGTGGCTGATTTGCAAAAGTTCATGGGTTATGGGCCCACAAACCTTAAGGAATCCACTCCACCGACCCTATGATGGTGGAAACAGTGTGACCATTATTTTAGTCAAAAGTTTACACAATTATTCCCTCTTTTTCCACCCAAGGTGTGGGACCCATCAAGTCCAAATAAAGATATTTAAAATTATATAGTATTCGATAAGCTATTCAAAAGATTAAGACTAGGCCTTTCATGAAATTGCGGAAAATAAATAAAATGATTAATCTCAATTTATACTCTGAAATATCGTTCAAATATTAATTTATACTCTTAAAATTTTAAAATATCAATTTATATTCTGAAAGATACAAACTCGTATTAATGTGCACATAAAATTAATTCGATCCATTTTTTTGTTAAAAAAACTTGGGTTTATTATAAATTATACCCTCCGAGTTTAAATATTTTATATTTATGATTTAAAAAAAATTTCATCTATTAATGGATGAAATTTTTTTTGGATAATAAATATGAAATATTTAAATTTTGAGGGGTATAATTTATAATTTATCTAAACTTTTTTAACTGCAAAATAGATGGATGATAGTTTCAGGTGCCCATTGATACGTATTTATATCTTTCAGGGTATAAATTAATATTTTTAAACTTTGAGAGTGCAAATTGAGATTCAAATGATCTTTCAGGATGTAAGTTCAAATTAGTCTTAAATAAAATGAAGATCAAGTATTTTTGTTCATATCTATGTGCACCAAATTTGTGTACCTAAATTTACATCAAATCAAATGCAATAAGACACACTGATCCAACGCCTATAAGTGATTTGATGTAAATTTTAGTGTATATTTTTTGTGCACATAGTATTATTCATAGGTATTATGTGATAAATTTATAATAAAAAAATACTTAACAATTTAGACGTTGTCTGTTTGAGGTAACACATAAAAATATATTCAATAATTCACTGACTAAAATAATATAATTAAAATATTATGGTCAAAATGAACACTTTTTATACTTTGGGGACTTTCAAATGCCTAAGACCAGGTCTTTCATGAAATACTGAAAAAAGATTAGTTTATGACTGCAAATATGAAATAAATAAAATGTGTAATGGAATAAGTTAAAATTAAGGGGTTGACAAAGACACAGTTCCTACTAACCCAATAGGGGAGACTAAGCAAGGTCTTATCTCTAAATATGGTTTTGAAATATATATATAAAATATTATAACTAAGAAGTATATATAGATTATAAGTAAGAAGTTGAATTTCTACTTATAAAATACAATAATGACTACGTGTATTAAAAGTTTGCTTTGAAATTATTAATTTAAAAGACTCGTGGATTGAAAAATTTTCCCATCAAGAAAAGAAGTGAAAATATGAAAATACAAAAATTAATGGTTATTTTGTATTCTTATCCAATTTAATCGGAAGATCAAAAACTCTTTCACATTCCTATTAAATTTTTTCGACTAGCCATTCAATGAAATCGGGTAAGATAAGAAATTGTGGCTAATCCAAAATTTGAATACCACTGATAAGGACTTTACCTAAATGGGTAAGAATTGAAGTTCTTACCATCTCGCTCCCTACACTTGGTCACTATACTAACTTGGTTTTATGGACCGTACTTTCTCATATATTATCTGTTAAAAAAAAATAATGTTATTTGAATTTAATTTATTGATTTAATCATTTATAATTATTAGATTGGTAGCGGTCCTAGTATATGTTGGAATCCACAATCAATTTGATGGTTGTAACATATTTAAGTTAACAAATTGAGTAATATTATTTAGACATAAAAATCTGACCTAATTTATTGACATAATGATGTGACTTTAATAGAACCATTAGATCAACACCACGTTTCAATGTTTGATGGGCTTCATAGTTAATCTAAAGGTCACAGTGAATTAGGTCAGTAAATTAGGTCCCAATAGCATTGCTCTAACAAATTATGTCTATAATTTAAATTCAAATAATATTATTGGGAAAAAAATATCTTATATATTCATGAATGAACTTCACATTAGCACTTCGGCTTTGAAAAAAACAGAGGCACTCGGCTTGCCAATCAATATGGGTATTCGGGTGGGCCGGTTAGTTTTACAGCCCAAGTAGAGGTGCAAAATGAACCGGGCTGGCACGGGTTGAATATGGCATGGCAAGACACAAGCCAGTTGCCACATGTGAGGCCCATAAATCCAGCCCATTAGTGCTGGCACAGCACGGGCATGGCTAAGGCACGCCCAATAAAAAAATTTATTGTGAGGATTTGGCCCAAAATCACAAATATGTGTCTCCCAAAAACTATATCACAATTACTTTGAGGAGTAAATTTATTTTTATATCTATGCCTGTGACCTATAAATCTTGGATGGTCTTATGTGTTAATAACCCAAAAAATTGTAATGAATATTTATTTACTTTGTATTAAAGAACATATTCACCTTCTTTAGCTGAGAATATAGATGTATTTCAAATTTCATTAAAATAAAATAATAACATAAAACAAATTTTCAAATAGCATGGCCTTGCAACCCACCACAAATATAGGCACAATTCAAACACGAGCACAACATAGCACGATCATGAACTAGACTCCCAATTGCACGACTCCAACACGGTCCGAAGTGGGGCGTGCTAGAGCACGACTAAGCACGAGAATATGATTCAAAAATCTTAAAACTTATTGGGTACATAGATTATTGATATTTAATAGTGTAAATTTAGAATTTTAAAAAATAAATCACTACACATATATGTTAGAGAGTATTACTCTTCAACATCACATAACTACCTGTAAGAGACTCCACCACACTTAGGTTGGAATCGAAACCAAGACTCACCGCATGTTTCGAGTGCTAAAGAGAAGGTAGAAGGTAGGTGCTATAACTATAACACTTTAAACCCAAACATATAGCAAAAAATTTCGAGTTGCTACCCATTAAACCAACGTTGGTTAAAATGTTTTCGAGTACAAATTGGTATTCTCCGAATTTTGGGCTATCAAAAATTCATAAACTTCAATCACCTCAATGCTTCACCTCGCAAGTCACCCCACAGCCATGGCTTCCATAGTTATTTGTTCCTCTAACCCTTCCCAGAGGCTTCTTCTTATGCGAATTGTGTCGATGCAATGGAGTCGTATTGGTGTCAAGGAAATGGAGAAGCAACACCATGCTAACAGAGGTAGCGAACATGGGTATCGGACCAAATAACCATAGCAGCAAGGTGGTAGCCAAGTAGAGTGCTCTAAGCCCAAGAGACCAGAAATCACCTGCTCTTATGATCGTCGATTCAATGGATTTAATTGGTACATCGCTATCTGGTGTGCTAATTAGATAGTTTGTGTGGATAAAGTACCTTGATGATTGAACAAAGCAAGAAAAAGCCAAGAGGAAGCATATGAGGAGGCTAATGTACTTGATGGCCATGGTGGATGGCCTTGTGTCGCCATAGATTAACTCGCTCTGGAAGATAGTGGAGTTGTTTGCTATCCAGGCTCCGATGAGAGAGCAGAGAATTAGGGAGATTGATGCTAAGACAGTTGCCGCGGAGGTGTTTGATGAAATGACGATGATAACTGGGTTGAGATCCTTCTTGTCAATCTGCAAAATCCACTAAATGTAAGGCAAATTAAGTAGGATTTGGCCTAGGTATGCGAAGAAAAAGAGGGGAGAAAACGGAGAGACTTGATCACCTGCATAATTCTCTCAACCCAGGCTTTCTTGTCATTGTTCTCAAAGCCAATGACTGTGGTGTGAGGCAGATTGAGGCATCTGTAGAGCAGGAAGAGATGGTAAGCAAACATGATGAGGAGCCCACTAGGGACCAACACCAAGTCGAGGTGTTCCTTTTGAAAACTCATCATATTTCTCTTGTATCACAGTGCGGGGATTGGAATATGAATCTATGCTAGAGTGTGTGAACTGATTATCAAATCTCACTTGCAAATTCATCAAAAAAAAATCTTACTTTTGAAGCAATTGGATTGGATAGTAATTGTGATGTGTTTAAAGCAGACTCTGACTTTTCGTAGATGGGTTGGAAAGACAACTTGTCATGTTGAATTTCCTTTTATTGTGGATCTGGTGGCCTTCTATACGATGAATTAGCAGGTAAGAGTCAACATTAAACATTATAACGAATTCTTCGCTTAATATAATGTACTCCTGGATCGTGGTTGGTTCTAGAAAAATGGTCACACCCAAAATCTAATGGACATACATTTAGTAGCATGAGATCTTAAATATTAGCAACAAACCTCCTACCAGAATTGTTTGACTGACTGAGATTATTCATTTTACCATCTTAGCTTTGTTTTCATCTAAATCATGGTCAAAGTCAGGCAAATTTGTTTAAACACAAAAGAAATTGAGAGAGAGGCTCTCCGACTGGCCAACCCAACCACCCCACCCCTCTAATCCGGTTCTGCCAACCTACAAGTCTTCCTTGGCGGCTGGCTACCAGACCCTCCACCCCGGAACCCATTCCAGTCCTCCCTACCTCTCCTCCTCCCCCAAAACCAAATTCACAAATCCCATCCCAAACCAAACTCTCTCCCCTGAACCACCACTCCCCCAAATACCCGAAACTACCAACCCCAACTCGTTGAACCTTTCCCTTCTGTGCAGAGTCTCAAATATCAAAACCAAATCCTCTCTCTCATCTTTTAATCAATGTAGAGAGTTCTCTCTCTCTCTCTCTCTCTCTCTCTCACACACACACACACACATTTGTTTTGGTGGCGTTGTATTTTCTCTCTTTCCATCATCTGTGAATGTGCCCCAATGTGTGCAGATAGGTATGTATAGTTGTTTTTGGTGGCATATTTTTATGGCATGGATGATTGGGGGCCAATTTCTCTTACTTGCTCANTTTGTTTTGGTGGCGTTGTGTTTTCTCTCTTTCCATCATCCGTGCATGTGCCCCAATGTGTGCAGATAGGTATGTATAGTTGTTTTTGGTGGCATATTTTTATGGCATGGATGATTGGGGGCCAATTTCTCTTACTTGCTCAGTGTGCCCCATTTTCGTTGAGTACCCTGCCTGGTTCACTGGGTTGTTAACCAAAAACTTGTTCACTGCTCCTGCAAGCGTGGTGGTGGTTACAATGGTAATTTGAGTTTAGGTTTGTGGGTGGGGTGTGGGTTTGATTGGTTTTATAGGAGTACTAACTTGAAGACAAGTGAAGTGAATGAATCATGAATGCACGATTCTTATGGTACTACTTATGTAGACTGAAATCCCATAGCTCCTGGATGCTACATCTTGATATCAGGATTGTTAAACTAGGTCATTAGAATAATAAAAAAAAGTTGCAAAGTGTGAGAAAATTACCATTCTTGACTAGAAAGACTTCAATTTGTTGATTATACAGCCAACAACGTCCCACTTATCCCACCGTACATAAATGGGTCTAATCTGAATTTATGCTCGACAATATATCATTGAAGCAGATTGTTGCAAGGCATCTAGTTTAAAACCCTCATCCTGGTTTTAGGCAATCCAATTGCAACCTTTGTAACTGATGATTGTTTAGGGAATGCCATTAATTTTCAATTTCTACACACAGGCTTTGATGCACACAACTTCAATTCGAAAGAACCACACCCAGAAGCTCACTTGAAAAACAAAACATCATATCCAACATACAATTCAACAACTGAATACTCAGCAGCCATTGATTTGAATATCAGACAATCTGGACCATTTGAAATGATGTTGTTAAAAAGGGGAGACAAGGAGTATAGAACAGAGTCTGGTACGACGACCTGCTTCAGGTCATGTTGTCAACATTATTTACAAATTACAAGATAGTTCTTTTATTTACATCAACAAATATGTTTTTCACATCAAACAAACAAAAAAATGGACTGAATAATAATTTACAATTCCCTATAACTAAAACACTGTACATTTTGCACTATAGAGACAACAATTCTAAACATGACTCGCTAATACTACATGTAAATTACCATGTATAAGTTCAGCCTTCATGGGTCTGATCATCATCGGATTGAATCGCCATACCCTCTTAGCAAATGAGTCGTGTATGGGTTGAACCAAATTCAACATAACATGACTCTAACCCTTCACATAATCCACAATGCAACACGAAGTCACCATAAATGAGTTTAGCGTCCTCAGGTTCTGGTTGTAATCAAGTTGACCTATCAAACTCGCTTAATAAATGAGTCTTTTATCAGTTAAGTTAATTTTAGAGTCACTTGAAATGGCTCACTTGAAGGATACGCTTAATAAATGAATCTTTTAACACGAAATTGACACGAAGTCACCATAAATGAGGTTAGCGTCATCGGGTTCTGGTTGTAATCAATTTGATCCATCAAACCCACTTAATAAATGAATCTTCTTTCAGTTAAGTTAATTTTAGAGTCATCCCTTTCAGTAGATGACTTGAAGGATACGTTGTGGCCCTTTGAGTTAGCTCTTTTCAGATTTGGACCTGTCGTTGTATGTTGCTCCTTAGCTGTTGATGGAGGGGAACCAAGCTTGGGAGAAGATATATTACAACCCTGGAATTCTGTAGATGGACTTTTCAAAATTCCTTTAATTAGTTTTTCCGTTGGAGAAACTGCTTCTCTATTGGAATTGTCACCGGGAGTATCCCCTTTCTTTCCTTTAGATATTTTGAACCATCCTTCATTCAACCATGGCAGAGAATTCAAATTCTTCAAAAATGAGCTTTTTTTAGGAGATTCCTCTGTCGTTTTCCTGGTACCGTGACCCAACAATGTCATGGCGATCACAGTAGAGATAAAAAGTTGGCAAATTTCACCCTTGATCTGTTCATGTCTCTCGAAAGACGACCCCTTGGTTAGTCCCACCATTCTTTTAATCCTGAGAACTGCCTGCGCCAGCTCTGCTAGCTCGCATCTTTCAAGTTTTGGATCGCTAAGATGCTTAGCTGCCAAGTAACCTATGTCTGTTTTACATTTTTTCAATCCCAATTCTTCAAATGGGAACAAATCTTTCTTCTCTGGAATTCCAAAACCCACAAATTGAATCCTTTGATCAGTGAGAAATTTGAGGATCGGATCAGGCAATGTATCCCCAGAACAAAACCTGAGGATCACACAACCAGTTCCGAAGCACAAGAACACCAGAATGATGTTTGGATCACGAGGGTGGCGCATAACATCGAGGCCAACAACCGGTGGTTGATGCCAAACCTTGCCCTTTGGGAAAAGAAAATCCATGGCGCATAGAGATTCAAATTCTTTTGTTTTGAAGGTAATGCCTTCGAGTTTAACCTCAAACCGATTGGTTCTCAAGTACACTGTCCCTGCCATTATGCATGCAACCTGGTACAAAGAAATCTTGGGTCCTGTGCTTGAAATTGGAGAGAGAATTACAAGAACAATATGAGCAACCTTACGCAAAAGAAGAGCCCGAATTAGATTCTGCCTGGCAAGAATCTAGATAGAGAAAATAGAATTGTGTTCACAGACGCTCAGATTTGCACTTTCAGGCAGAAGAAGATGACAATTGAGATTATGAGAATACAAAAAACCACACAACAGAATTGGAGCTTATTTATAAGGTTGTTGCAAATAGATTCTTTTTGTATTCCTTGGTCTTCGGTTCCATATATATTCATGTTACTAATATTGGGTGATCTTCTTTTGCTATATTTAGTGGAATTTTGGATAAATTTGGTCCATAAATATCTTAAAAAGAACGGCAGTCATTTGCGACGACAAAATTAGTGGTTCTTCACAATTAAGGGTTTTTCTTAATATAGGTTTCGGATCAATCTGTGCAACAAATTTCGGAAGGTCTTCATGCTTTCTTTGGTATGTTTGACAAAATTTGAAACCATAATGACTTTCATCCACAACTAAAACAACACTCCTTAATAATTGTTGCTTTTTCTATAAAGGGTTTTGGATAAATCTATACTCTAGAAACGATGATAGAGAAGAAGAGGAAGTTATAGAATCATTGTTTATATCTCACAGCTTTGTGCCTCTTTCATTGCTAGCAACACCAGTTATCTTCTTTGGTCTTGGATAATAACACTTTGTAGAGTGTACCTAAACCATCTATTCGTTCTTTCGGGGCCAACAAAAATACCCTATCGTAAGAGCAATTCCAAGGGGAGTGGCAACCCCATAACTATATGTAATTGTTAAAATGTCACTTTAAATTCAAAATTTTTCAATCCAACAAAGATAGCATCGAGGATTGAAAAATGACAACAATGTTCTTGTATTATATAAAGATTAAGTTGGCTATCTTAATAGTTTAACTAATGTCTCATAATTGACCAATAGAGTAATTTCAACTCAACTCTTCATTTTAATTAATCAAAATATATTTAAATATTATGCTATTCATTTCAAAAAGTTAGATTTACAAATTTATTCAAATTATACTCTCTATTTTTGTTAATTATTATAATTAACTTCAACTAACTTTCAATAATTTAAATTAAAAATATCACATAATCTACTGTGTTAATATCAAATTTTTAACAGTCATATTTAACCCAAAAAAAAAAAGATCAATTTTGTGTTCTTCTCTAATTGTCACGAAATTTTAGTAAATCAAAAATTTTAACGAAAGAGAAAGAGCCAAAACATAAAAGCTAGAGAATAAAAAATGGTGAAACGCAAAGGAAAAAGTTGGTTTTTGAGTAGAAGAGAAAGTTGATTGAATTGAGAGAGAGAGAGAGGTGGGGGCTCGCCAAATTTGGAGAGCCATTTTGGTAAAATGGGGAACAGAGAACAAGTTAAAGAGGTTTTTTAGTATTGAATTAAGTAAAATGGCTAAGAAATAGGAAATAAAGAGTGGGTTAGTGTGCTCTAAGTAATTTTCTAGAGTGCTATATTAATAAAAAAATAAAATTGTAGTTAAACAAGAAAATCAAAATTCTATTTCTACCTGTAAGTGTACATAATCTTCATCACTTGGTGTATTCAAAGTTTGAAGTCAAGAGAGAAAAGCTAATTTTCTAGTTGCACCAAAAGTGTTCTTAGATCCACAACCATTATTTCAAGTATGTGTTCATTATGATTATTTAATTCCACATAATTGATTATATGAAAATCATAATTATTTTATATTTTGGAATTAGGATTTGATTATTTTTTGATCTCATGTCTGTATTAATTCCAAACTCTAATCAATGTTCATAGCTGCTTGCACCATCAATGTCTTAGGATCTCTTGCATCCAATGTCTTAGGTATGTACTAGTAAACAGAGATTTTAGAATGACCTTCAAATCCAATTGCAAAACCACAAAAACAGAGATCAAATTAGAAACCAACAAGCCTGAAATGTCATTAAGAAAGAGATCCAGTACAGAATCAACATCAAGTGACCCAGAGAATTTGAAAAACATCTATACAGTACCAACTGCATACATCCTAGATAGATCACTCAATTATCTTCAAGCTCTCTCACCCCTAATCCTCCTAGCAAGCTGCATATCCTTGGGCATAATCGTAACCCTCTTAGCATGAATCGCACAGAGATTGGTATCCTCGAACAACCCCACCAAGTATGCCTCCGCAGCCTCTTGGAGAGCAGCCACTGCAGAGCTCTGAAACCTCAGGTCGGTCTTGAAATCCTGAGCAATCTCACGAACAAGCCTCTGAAAAGGCAACTTTCGGATTAGAAGCTCAGTACTCTTCTGGTATTTTCTGATTTCTCGGAGCGCCACTGTGCCGGGACGGAAACGGTGGGGCTTCTTCACTCCTCCCGTCGCCGGAGCTGACTTCCTTGCCGCCTTTGTGGCAAGCTGCTTTCGTGGGGCTTTGCCGCCGGTGGACTTGCGGGCAGTTTGCTTGGTACGAGCCATTGGAGAGAGAGAGTGGTGGGTTTGCTGGTTTTTGGGTGATGGTGATAGTAGTTGTGGTGGGTTGAGGTGTTTGCGAGGGTGATTTATAGAGAGTTTTGAAATCTGTGGCGGGAGATTGGGAAATTTTGGCCGTTGATTGAGTTTATTGGGTGAATTTCTAATCGACGGTTGTCGTTATATTTAGGGAGGAAGACGTGGATGGGTGAGGTGGTGTTGAAGTTAGGTTTGTCGCCTTGCTATCCGACTGTTTTTATTGGATTGAGGTTGAAGATGCGGATCGATGACGTGGTCAGTTTGTCTTATGAAGATGTGATCGTGAGCGTCCATTTGTTGATTGCGGATTGGTTGAGAGGAGATAATCGCGGATTGCTGACCTGGCGTCATTTGTGTTACTCTCGCAGCACGCACGATTGAGGGCATCTATTTGTATTTTTTTTTTAATCTAATATTAAATTTGGCTTTCCTCCGATATATAACAAAATTAAAAGATCAAAATTTTATTTCGGTGACTTGTTTCAGTTACTTAGGAAATAAAAATGTTTGATGTATTTCAAAAATATTTTCGATCTATTTTGAAAAAAGAATGAAAAAAATAAAAAAAAATATTTTTTTTAAATATTGATCAAAATATACTAAAATATCGTAAAATATTCTGAAATAATTGTGCAAAAATATTAANATTAAACCATCTATTCGTTCTTTCGGGGCCAACAAAAATACCCTATCGTAAGAGAAATTTCAAGGGGAGTGGCAACCCCATAACTATCTATAATTGTTAAAATGTCACTTTAAATTCAAAATTATTCAATCCAACAAAGATAGTATCAAGGGTTGAAAAATGACAACACTGTTCTTGCGGTGACAAATTTCCAAACTTTGGAGAGAGAAAGGAAGAGATTGCATAAAAAATTTATGAATTTGTTTAGCAAAATTACAGCAGAAAGGGAGAGAGGTTGAAACCAAAGTTAAGCTTAATTATATTTTTTTAATAAAAAATATTAAAAAAATGGGGAACAGAGAACAAGTTGAAGAGATTTTTTAGTATTGAATTAAGTAAAATGGCTAAGAAATAGGAAATAAAGAGTGGGTTAGTGTGCTCTAAGTAATTTTCTAGAGTGCTATATTAATAAAAAAATAAAATTGTAGTTAAACAAGAAAATCAAAATTCTATTTCGACCTGTAAGTGTACATAATCTTCATCACTTGGTGTATTCAAAGTTTGAAGTCAAGAGAGAAAAGCTAATTTTCTAGTTGCACCAAAAGTGTTCTTAGATCCACAACCATTATTTCAAGTATGTGTTCATTATGATTATTTAATTCCACATAATTGATTATATGAAAATCATAATTATTTTATATTTTGGAATTAGGATTTGATTATTTTTTGATCTCATGTCTGTATTAATTCCAAACTCTAATCAATGTTCATAGCTGCTTGCACCATCAATGTCTTAGGATCTCTTGCATCCAATGTCTTAGGTATGTACTAGTAAACAGAGATTTTAGAATGACCTTCAAATCCAATTGCAAAACCACAAAAACAGAGATCAAATTAGAAACCAACAAGCCTGAAATGTCATTAAGAAAGAGATCCAGTACAGAATCAACATCAAGTGACCCAGAGAATTTGAAAAACATCTATACAGTACCAACTGCATACATCCTAGATAGATCACTCAATTATCTTCAAGCTCTCTCACCCCTAATCCTCCTAGCAAGCTGCATATCCTTGGGCATAATCGTAACCCTCTTAGCATGAATCGCACAGAGATTGGTATCCTCGAACAACCCCACCAAGTATGCCTCCGCAGCCTCTTGGAGAGCAGCCACTGCAGAGCTCTGAAACCTCAGGTCGGTCTTGAAATCCTGAGCAATCTCACGAACAAGCCTCTGAAAAGGCAACTTTCGGATTAGAAGCTCAGTGCTCTTCTGGTATTTTCTGATTTCTCGGAGCGCCACTGTGCCGGGACGGAAACGGTGGGGCTTCTTCACTCCTCCCGTCGCCGGAGCTGACTTCCTTGCCGCCTTTGTGGCAAGCTGCTTTCGTGGGGCTTTGCCGCCGGTGGACTTGCGGGCAGTTTGCTTGGTACGAGCCATTGGAGAGAGAGTGTGGTGGGTTTGCTGGTTTTTGGGTGATGGTGATAGTAGTTGTGGGGGGTTGAGGTGTTTGCGAGGGTGATTTATAGAGAGTTTTGAAATCTGTGGCGGGAGATTGGGAAATTTTGGCCGTTGATTGGGTTTATTGGGTGAATTTCTAATCGACGGTTGTCGTTATATTTAGGGAGGAAGACGTGGATGGGTGAGGTGGTGTTGAAGTTAGGTTTGTCGCCTTGCTATCCGACTGTTTTTATTGGATTGAGGTTGAAGATGCGGATCGATGACGTGGTCAGTTTGTCTTATGAAGATGTGATCGTGAGCGTCCATTTGTTGATTGCGGATTGGTTGAGAGGAGATAATCGCGGATTGCTGACCTGGCGTCATTTGTGTTACTCTCGCAGCACGCACGATTGAGGGCATCTATTTGTATTTTTTTTTTAATCTAATATTAAATTTGGCTTTCCTCCGATATATAACAAAATTAAAAGATCAAAATTTTATTTCGGTGACTTGTTTCAGTTACTTAGGAAATAAAAATGTTTGATGTATTTCAAAAATATTTTCGATCTATTTTGAAAAAAGAATGAAAAAAATAAAAAAAAATATTTTTTTTAAATATTGATCAAAATATACTAAAATATCGTAAAATATTCTGAAATAATTGTGCAAAAATATTAAAACATTATAAAACACTTCGAAATATTAAAATTTTAATTTATCATTAATTCATTTTGATTTTCTTAAAAACAGAAACGTTTCAGATATTTTAAAATAAAATTTTGATTATTGTGAAATATGTTATAGGGATCTAATTAAATATCTAATTTATTACGGTCATTAGAATAATTGCGAGTTTCGAAGTTGAATGGAGCCTTCTTTCAATTGATTAGGTCCAATAAATTAGTTCTCTAAATTAAGTCTAAAATAATATTTTCTTTAATTTATAATAGAGGATTTGTCACATTATCATTTGTATGCATAATTATAANAAAATGGGGAACAGAGAACAAGTTGAAGAGATTTTTTAGTATTGAATTAAGTAAAATGGCTAAGAAATAGGAAATAAAGAGTGGGTTAGTGTGCTCTAAGTAATTTTCTAGAGTGCTATATTAATAAAAAAATAAAATTGTAGTTAAACAAGAAAATCAAAATTCTATTTCGACCTGTAAGTGTACATAATCTTCATCACTTGGTGTATTCAAAGTTAGAAGTCAAGAGAGAAAAGCTAATTTTCTAGTTGCACCAAAAGTGTTCTTAGATCCACNGGCGACAATGGTAACGATGGTTTTTTTTTGGCAACGATAACAACAGATGTAGATAGAATGATGGTGATCAAGGGGTGACAATTTAATTGGTGATGGTAATTTGACACAAAAAAAACTAATATTTAGTTAATACACATTATTTAGTTTCCTAATCTTAGGTGGTGTTTGATAACTTAACATTTAAAATTAAATATATTACGCACCTTTTTAATTACACGCATTAGAAAAAGAAAATTCACATCACTAAAAATGTGAAGTACCTCTTAAGAATATATTAAAATTTTAATTAACAAGTCACTTACTCGTTACTTAATAATTATGCTGTCGAATACAAATTTTCTAATTTTTTCTATATAGACAAATTTAAACTCAATATATGTTGACCTTAACCTATCTTACACCTTAAATCTCCACCACAAAACTTCTAACACCACAATCACCACCATTGTGGTCAACATCACCGTCGCAACCCTTCCAATTGTTGCCAACCCAAACGACCATCGCTCAATCACCTTCATTATTGTCTTAATCATCCCCAAATTATCACCTCATCATCGTTGCCATCACAATCACCGCTATAGTCTCGCTTCAANGCAACCCTTCCAATTGTTGTCAACCCAAACGACCATCGCTCAATCACCTTCATTATTGTCTTAATCATCCCCAAATTATCACCTCATCATCGTTGCCATCACAATCACCGCTATAGTCTCGCTTCAACTAATTTCTCTGTTATCCACCGACCAAAATCACCCCCATAACCATCATTGCCTCATTGTTGCTACCGACCCCTATTGCACCATTACCATTGGCATCATCATTCCCCCCTATCACTAGTTCCTATTGTCGCCACGCCCTAAGCACCACTATCACTGTTATTGGCATCACCATAACTACCACCAATAGATCCCACGATTAATACCACCGAATCCCCACCATCACTACTATCACCAACTTGGATATTACCACACCATCATTACCTAACCATTGCCACCAATCACAACAACTTAGATGGTGGTAGTGACAATGGTATAGTGGAGGCGGTGTTGTTGATGGAGGTGATAATTTCGAAATTATAGAGATTGAGAGATAGTTGCAGTGGTGGTAGTACAATATGATACAACATATGATAATGACGACAGGGATGATTATACCAACGATGAGAGCAATTGAATTGAGATGGTGGATGAGGTGATGATGGAGAGATATAGTGACAATGATAATAATGTACATGAGTGTATAGTAACAATTGTGAAACAGTGTCAATATTTTGTGGTAAAAATAATACACTGATAATAGATTTATAGAGGGAAAGAAGATAAATTAAAAAACATTAGGTTGTGTTTGGTTTATTATCTGCAAAACAATTTTTTGTTCTTAAAATTTTTGAAAAAAAAATGAGATTTGGAACACAAAAATAGAAAAATAAAGTCAGGCTTGTGTTATAGGTTTTATTTGGAGATTGTGAAAACACAGAAAACATAGAAATCCCATTTACTGTGCACTTATTGTACCACTATAATTTTTTTTTTCATTCATTTTCCTTGACCTCTCTTTCTCTCTCTTGCCGACACCATAGNGTTTTTTGTTCTCAAAATTTTTGAAAAAAAATGAGATTTAGAACACAAAAATAGAAAAATAAAGTCAGGCTTGTGTTATAGGTTTTATTTGGAGATTGTGAAAACACGGAAAACATAAAAATCCCATTTACTGTGCACTTATTGTACCACTATAATTTTTTTTTTTTCATTCATTTTCCTTGACCTCTCTTTCTCTCTCTTGCCGACACCATAGATTTGTCTTCAATCCATAGATCCGGTGACTGGAAGCATAGATCCGGCGACTGGAAGCACAGATCATTTGGTGGTGGTTATAGATGTTGGGTGGTTCTCAGTTTGGGTGGTGGGTGCTTCTCGGTGTGAGTTGATGGTGGTTGTGGGTGTTGTTGGATGGTTCTCGGTTTGAGTGGTGGTATTGATGCACAGTGAAAGAGAGAGAGAAAGAGACACAGAGTGGTGGTCTTGATGCACAGTTAAAGAGGGAGAGAAAGACACAGAGTGGTGGTCTTGATGCATAGTGAAAGAGAGAGAGACAGAGAGTTAAAGAGAGGTGAGAATTGTGGATTTTTGNGAAAGAGAGAGAGAAAGACACAGAGTGGTGGTCTTGATGCATAGTGAAAGAGAGAGAGACAGAGAGTTAAAGAGAGGTNTAAAGAGGGAGAGAAAGACAAAGAGTGGTGGTCTTGATGCATAGTGAAAGAGAGAGAGACAGAGAGTTAAAGAGAGGTGAGAATTGTGGATTTTTGTTTAAACAAATTTTATAATTTTTATTATTTAAAACTATTTTAAAAAAATATAACTAAACAATTTTTGTAATTTAAAATTTTTTAAAAATATTTTCTTAAAATTTTTCTCAAAAATAATTTTCAAATACTATTTTTTGAGATACAAACCAAATATACCTTTAGTTTTTTAAAGTTCAACTGCTTGCATTGATCAAACATTTTTGATCCACATTAATATTTAAATTTCAATGCATACTAAATGATTTTTAAATTAAAAATTTCAACGTTCAATTTTTAATACGTAGTTATACCGAACCCCTCGTGGCTTTCGTGCGTGCCCTTCTTCGCGCTATCCCCAACCCCAATATGGTATCACTGGCGTCCAAACATCCAGCAAAGTCCTCTTTTTGACCCTTTTAGCCGTCATCCAAACAAGAATGGTCAACCAATCCGCACAGAGATTCAGATCAACCTCTATAATACGCATAAAACGACTTTCCTCTTCCCCAAACTTCCTTGTTTCGGACCTTGGCACGCATTTCTTGTCTTCTTTATCAAGAAACACACTCTTTCTGAACCAGTCAAAGAATACGCATCGACCCATATATATATATAGAATTGTGTTTCATTGAGGCAAAAGATCGAACAGTTGGGGGATAGGAGAGATAAGGAACAGCAAGAAAGAGTAATGGTCCTCCCGTTATTGAAGCTTGGGACTCTTGCATTGAAAACTCTGAGCAAACCCATTGCTAGTAGGCTCAAGGCCGAGGCTGGGAAACACCCCAAGTTCCGTAACATCATCGTCAACATGGCCCAGGTACAGATTCAAATTGGGTTTCTATTAAATGTTATGATTTTCGGCTACAAAATCCAAATATAAGACTCTGAAACTTGATATATTTTGAGAAATTGTCAGCTTCTTTATGATTATTTATTGTTTGTATTTGTTCGAAGAATCAAGGATGATCTTGTGAGGAAAATATGTAATGTAGCTGTTAAATGGTGTGGAAATGATTTGTGTAGGAATATACGGAACATAATTTGATAAATTTGATGAATGGTGAGCTAGCAAATTAAAAAATTCTCTTTGATACGAAAGCAATAGGGTTGAGATTTTTTCTCAATGGGTTTTCTCACATTATTTTCTTGGTATGTTCTCTCTATATGCAGAAACCTTATTTATAAGAGAGGATTCAACTAGCCGTTTAACTAGATGTTATCACTCAGCATAATATCCTCAACTCCCTAATATATTCTCAACTCCATCGGTATTTCTTCAACCCTCTGCAATCAAAGTAAGCTAATCATACTTCAAGTAGGATTGACTAGTCTTTCACTACTTGATAGGTCCTTCTAGCCAAGTCACTCATACTTACTAGTAAAGATCCAACCCAAACATCCAATTATATCAATGTAATAGATGTATGCATGCATCATTATAAAATAATATTTAATACATAATAATTTCACAAAAAATGCATCTATAATATATGTCATGAATAATATAATATTTGACCAACATATTGGGGTTTTATATATTTCAGATAATATTTAATACATAATAATTTCACAAAAAATGCATCTATGATATATGCCATGAATAATATAATATTTGACCAACGAATTGAGATTTTATATATTTCAGATTTTACCACCAATCGTGGCTTAATTAACGTAGAGGGATTTTAGTCATATATTCTAACAATTTGTTCTATGATTACAATGGGTCTCGGCGCTTATTAGATTTGTTAGAAGTANATAATATTTGACCAACGAATTGGGATTTTATATATTTCAGATTTTACCACCAATCGTGGCTTAATTAACGTAGAGGGATTTTAGTCATATATTCTAACAATTTGTTCTATGATTACAATGGGTCTCGGCGCTTATTAGATTTGTTAGAAGTAGAGAGATATAACAAAGTAAAGAATTAACGTGGTTTGACACACCATACCTACGTCTATGGACGTATATTATTAAAGGTTATTGATTACATGAGACTCGACTCTATTTATAGGGTAAAAATTACACAAGATAAAGATAAATCAAACTTGTCTATCATCATTTGTACTTATCCAAACAAACCTAGCTATCGATGGATCTCTTTGGATCCTATCATATCTCTAGTAGATTCTAAACGAATTATTAACAATCGCTATACCAACATATGGGAGTTCTTGTTTCCAATCTGATCTCCGATGAATGTTCAAATTCATAGTCATCTAAGAATTTTAGCATCATTCCAAGGCTACTAGTTTTTCCCAAAAGATTGGTTGATCCTTATTTCTGCATTGTGTTGCCATTTTTTTTCACTTTTGGATTTTCTTATTGAAAGGACAACAGGCCCTCCATAAGTTTCTTACACTAAAAAACATCATGCACAATGCGTGTTCTAAATGGTCCCCTAATAAATGCACAGTAAGGACATATGTCATGCTCTCGGAAGCTGATATATCAATTTTGAAAATTTTCATTTTACCTCTCCGAATGGTATGAGACACTCGTATACGTTTTATGTTGTTGAGGTAATTGGTTTGAATGCTTTGTTCATCGTAAACCCACAGATTGTATATAAAGGAACTGTATTCTATGTTCAACAGTAAGAGTTGAACCGTGTAGGGGCATTCTCTTCATTTCAAATGTTCCCATAGGATGGCAACTTAAAGATAACCTCTATTGGTGCAGATCTTTGCATGCTGAAGTATGTGTTATAAATTGAGGCTTTTTTAAAATTTTTCTTTATGCAAATTTTACATTGGTTGTGTTTTTCTTTTTTTATAGAATCGGCTTATTTTGTTGCCTACATGTGATGTAGTTTGTTCTCTGTTTGAATATGTAATGGAAGGACTTCTTACTGTGTTTTCCTTATGTGCATCATGGAACCAGGCTAACCATCGTATCACAACAACAATGCAAAGACGCATTTATGGTCATGCAACTGATGTTGAGATTCGGCCTCTAAATGAGGAGAAAGCCGTTCAAGCTGCTGTGGACCTTCTTGGGGAATTCTTTGTATTCTCGGTAATCTTTATTTCCAATTTACATTTTCTTTTGGGTGGTTCATATTTACCAAAGCTTACACATATCTGGTAAAAATTAATTTGCTTGAAAACAGTGAAGATAATCTATTTGTAATCTAAAGATAAAGACATGTACTTCTTTAATTGCGAAGTGAGCAAGGAGACCCTTTTGCTCTCTATGTCATGCAGCTGATGCATAAATTTAGCAAACTGTGACCACTGCTTCGAAAATATTTCTTAAGATGTTCACAAAATTCTGGTAACATGCAAAATTCATAACCTGTACCTGAATCTGCAACAAATATATATCCTGGACCACTGAAAGGAACCAATGCATTTCTATGGTTCATACACAATATCAAATTTCCTGAGTAGTTATCTACTTATTGGCATGGGTACAAAACGTTCTCTTTGAAACAAAGCGATATGCAGTCATGCTAGAATATTAGCCTAATTACTGCTGATTATTTCTCTAACCTATTCTACTTCTGGATCATCACTCATGCCTGATAGTTCTAGAATGAGGAATCCTGTGTTGCTTCTATGCCTGAAGAATATACCTGATTGAATTCGTTTGTGGGTTCGTATCAATACCACTAGGGATTCCTCTGATGCACTTGTTTCTAAATCTTTGTTGCAATCTAATGCATCTTCTAGTAGCATCTAGGACTGTCAGAGTGATTGATGGGTACACTACTGATGTTGGGCAACTGCTTGACCAGTAGATATTCTCATATCGGATTGTGTTATAGTAGCAGATAAGCTGAAAAATGTAGTAATTATTGGCTTGTCACATTTTAGGGCATGTCATATCGCTGCACAGCGGGCCGAGTCTTTATTTGTCCCAAGAAGCGAAATAAAATTGCAATACATTTTTTATTTATTGAGTTGTTTAACAGAATCATGCACTGTGTTGTCCTATGAATACTGAGATTTGCTACCGGTTTGATGGCTGCTGCAATATTAAACTGTTTATAACTGTCCAGTTGGGACTAATGTGAGTGGAATTGATGTTGCTCTTGCATGCATTATATATGACACAAGCAAGATCGCTTTGTTTCCAATTCCATGTTGGTATTAAATTTAAAGCAACATCAATGGCACTTAAAACCCGGTGTATACTTTTTTATGTTGAGGCACTTACACGTCCCAATATATATGTAGGTTGCAGTAGTCGCTCTTTTCTTTGAGGTGCAAAGAAATTCTAGATCGGAAGCTAGAAAGGAGGAACTTCGTAAGAAAGAACTGGAGGTAATTATCACTATCTTACTCAATTTTAGGATAATGTACAGTTGTTTTCATTTCCTCTCTACAACTACCGCCAAGTGTTCGACCCTCTCATTGTCTGAAACATTTAAGTTAATAAGTTGATGTTTTCTTTTAAAATACATGGCTAAGGTTCTCTGAATACTACTACGCATGCCCTGCCACCAATTTTTTGTGTTAAATCTTCTGGTTATGATAGCTCTTCATGATTTTGTGGTCTTGGAAAAGTCATTGATGTAAACTGTTTGAATTATAAATTTTTAGTTTACGAATCTATATATGCAGTGATAAAAATTGAAGGATATGCATCAAATAAAAGTTGTGGTGAATACAATTGAAAAGTGTCTGTCTCTTACAGTATCTTTCATCCTAATGAAATTTGAGTAACTAAAAGGTTGTATCTACTTTAAACTGAGTGAGACCATCCACATGAGCAGTATTAGAGTAATTGCATTTTGTGTTGCTTGCTAAGAAGACTTTTTATTATGATTCTGCCGTCAATTTCCCAAAAAAAAAAACGTAAACCATACTGAGTAATTCTCCTGATCTGTATATCAGCCAGCGTCTGTGTCTACGTCTTGACTGGAATGTATTATCTTTTTTCTCTTTAATTTTTTCTTCTCTCTTCGTTTCTACCCAAACTCTTAAAGCATANGTCTGTGTCTACGTCTTGACTGGAATGTATTATTTTTTCTCTTTAATTTTTTCTTCTCTCTTCGTTTCTACCCAAACTCTTAAAGCATAATCTGAATGTTTTTGTCCTAGTTGCTACCCCCCTTGCTATAATTTTGTCTAGGTTTTGTTACCTCATGGCAGAGTCTATTGATACAAAACAAATAGTACTATGTGGCCCCTTAGTTCTACAACTTAATTCAACTCAACAAAGCTTTTCTCCTAATTTTTTGGGGTTGCCTGCATGAATCTCGTTTCTCCATTGTGCTCAACTTTGGCACTACCTAATATTTGGTTTCACTTCAGTCTGTTGGAGAGAAGTGTGGTAGGCATTTGCTCTTATTTATTCATAATCCTCTTACGTTCACACTTTTAGGGAAAATATAAACAAAACTAAAAATAGAATTGGGGAAGAAAACCTACTTCGAGGGGGGTAGAAACCTCGGTGGTTCAATTCGAGAAAAATTGGATCTCCAAAATTTCACGAGAAAGTTTATCATAATATTCAACATGCCATTTCCATTGATAGAAAGTCCTTTAAATACAAGATGATAAAAACTATCTTAATAACTAACCTAACCATGACTCCAGTATCTTTGTAACCATCTAGAAACTAATTAATCACTAATAATCTTCTAATAACCAACTCCTAGATTACAAAAAAAATAGGGTAAATTACATTCGGACCCCTAAAGGTTTGTCACTTGAACAGACAGACCCTGTCACATTTGAAAAATTACACTAAGTCTCCTTAAAATTTGTGCGTGTATAACATATAGTACCCTTGTCGTCAAGATCCATTAAACATACCGTTAAAATTTGATGAAATCAGTATCTTTTTTATATAGAATTCTCAAATTATCCTGTTACCATTTCAACAAAAATTCAATAAAAATTAATAATTTTTAATTTTCAATTAAAACCCCAATATCCAAGCCCACAACCACCGCCAACTCTTCTCTCTCCTTCTACCAAGCACCGCTAGTGCCAAAACCATCACCACCACAATACCACCGCAGCCAAGAACTGCCACCACAATATCGCCATACCAAAGCCACAGCCCAGAACCGCCACAACCCAGAACCACCACTACCACAACACCACCTCACCAAAGCCACAACCCAAAACCCCCACTATAACACCGCCACACCAGAGCCACAGCCACCACCACCACCAAATTTCCTTTCTCCGGCCACAACATTGCCAGCGCCATAACCACCACCACAATATCGCCACTCCAGAATCACTGCCTAGAACCACCACCACAACCCTGCCACATCAGAGCCATAACCATCGTCAACACTGCCACATCAGAGCCATAACCACCGTCAACACCACTTCCACCAGTGCCATGATCATCACCATCACCCATCATAGGTATGGATTTCCTCCCTTCTCTCTGCTACACCCAAACCCAAATCCCAAATCCCAAAATCCCCTTAAATTTGAGAATTCACCAACCCTAACTCTCTATCAAACACTTCCTTTCACCATCGTTTATCCAACCACTACTCTCCTCCTCTCATCGCCATTTACCCGGCCACCACCACCACCACCACCACCCTCCTCTCATCACCACTGTTTGCCCAACCACCAAGGGGCGGTTAGCGATAGAACACAGGGAGAGATAGAGAGAGGGGTCGATGATGGGCATAGATGGAGGGGAGAGGTTCTACGATGGGCCATTAACGGTTGAACATAGAGAGATGGCGGGCAGTGGAGTGGAGAGAGATAGAGGGGTAAATGCAAGGGCAAAATAAGCATCGGGTCGGGAATGGGTTTCAAGTCGGATATGGTATTGGGTTTGGTTCAAGCTGGTTTTATTTATTTTGAATAAAGTCAAAAATAATCCTTTTAAAACTTTCATTAGGTGTGTTAGTTGACTAGGACTTATAGGGGGTGTCATTGTAATATGTCATACATGAGGGGGTCGATGTGTTTTAGTGACAAAGTTTAGGAGGTGTCGATGTAATTTATCCTAAAAAAATATATTAAAAATGTGCACATAATATTCCATTCTCCTTTAAAACAAACTTTGTCGTCAAAGTTTGATTTATCATGTACAAAGGAGGCGCCCAACCTACTTCCATATTCTCGTAACACTTTATGTAATAAAAAATTTCACCACGAAAAATGTTAGCAGCAAGTTCTTGGCGAGTAGGTGTATTTTGTAGGATTGAAAGGGAGGAAGTAGGCTTCTTTAATTCCATCTCTTGTCATATCTCCTTATGGCCTGCTAGCCCTGAAACAATTGCAGCATCTTGATTATCCAACCTTGAAGCTCTTCCAACAATTAGTAATAGCATGTGTTTGCTTAACGTCTCATCCATGATTTTTTATTTTACTTCTTGAAGAATTTTCGAACCCCATTAAAGCTTTTTTGCATCCGTTGATTTTCTTCAATTAAATTTTTGAACGCCTTTTGAAAATTAGATGCATGAACTTCAAAATCTCTAATTGTGTCAATATTACTAGGATCATTAGCTCTGATGTCAATTATTACGTGCACACTTTTAGGAAAAATATAAACAAAACTAAAAATAGAATTGGAGAAGAAAACTCACTTCGAGGGGTGTAGAAACCTTTTGGTGGTTCAATTCGAGAAGAACCGGATCTCCAAAATTTCACAAAAAAGTTTGTTACAGGATTCAACATACCATTTCCATTGATGGAAAGACTTTTAAACACAAGATGATAAAAACTACCTTAATAACTAACTTAACCCATGACTCCCCTATCTTATTAACCACCGGGAAAACTATCCACAAAATATTCTATCACTAACTACTCACTAATAAACTTTCAATAACCAACTCCTAGATTGCATAAAAAATATATTAAAAATGTGCACATAACAAACCCGAATTCTATTTGTTGTGGTCAAGTAGTTGTGGACAAACCTATTTTGTCAACTTTCAGTCGTCTTTGGGTTTCTGAAACAGACATTATTCTTGTGACTTGATTGGTTAAGAGATGAATGATTTTTCTTTATACTACTTCCTTTCCTGCATCAAAAGATCAACAGTTATGGATAACTGAATCTGCATCCAGCCCTAAAAGTCATGCTTCTTTAAAAAAATACTCATCAGACATTGCTGTCATTTTAATCTTAGTCCAGTATATTCATGGTTTTTCAGGGGATGAGGCAAAAAGATGAAGAGTTAGCTAGAGAGGTGCATCTTCTCAAACAACAAATTCAAGAGCTTGAGCAGCTAGCCAGGGGAAAAGGACTTGCTGGTGTTTTCAACTTCAGACAAACTCATGCTGAAGACGGAAAGTCAGCAAAGGCAGCTTAATCTGATCACCGCAATTTTGACAGCAAATAATGCATTCGCGGTTGGGTGATGCAAATATTAAGTGATTCATTGGAACTGATCTACCAAGTGCTTGCCAAGGAATGATTTTTCCTTTTTTCATTATTTTGAGCCTGTGATGTCCACACCGATTGATTTCCAGCTTTACTTGTTCCACTTGTATCTGAAATAACCCTCATTGAGGTCCTATTTCTGTTAATGGAAAATAAAGTGGAATGAATTTTTGTAATGCTGTCGACTTTGGCAGGCACTATTTTATTGGCAAATTTGTGCTGACTCTGTGTGTGATAGAGAGAAATAGAGATATAGAGGTGGGGATTCTTTTTTCTTTTTCAAAGTTCAATGAGATGAATATTACACCATTTCTTCAATATTTTTTGACACGACGAGGTTTATAATTTGACTTTGATGATGATGATCTGATCTCTATTGCAGTTTTTTTTTGTCGTCATTGATGATGATCTAATCTTTGTAGCAGGCCAAAAAATTGTGGACATCAGATGCTCATTATCTTCAAAAGTTCCTATATTCCCCGTATATAATTACTCCTTCAGGGACTCTTTCAATCTCGTGGGGAATCAGGAATTGACAGCAGGAACATGGAGAATAGTAGTGGGTTATGTCCTTTATGCCTTCCTTAGCCTACTCATCTTCACTTTCCTCGTCCACATAAAGAGCTTTTTATTGATTCACAGAGTAGTAATTCAAAGTCCCAGCAAGTCTTTGTGGAAATCTCTTACCATACAAAAGTCATTGACTTTCTGGAATAGTGATCTGTATAAAATTTTAAGACAAGGTTTTGTTTGGGCATTTTTTTGTGCACCTGGCTGGTTTGTATACAGTGGCATTGTGGAGATCTATACAAAAGTATAGTAAATGTGCTAGATATGAGGTTAGCGGTTGGAATAAACAGTCATCACTTTCGCTGTTGTACCTTAGGTTACGGGTTCAAATCTCTTCGTCTTTTTCTCTTGTAATAGTGTCTGCTTGACTAAAAAAAAAAAAAAACATGCTAGGTATATTTGTGCAACACTTCCAAGATGGCTCCCATTGCTACACTATTTCCAAAAAAATCGACAGTTAAGTATATTATTTTTTTGGAGGTGGGGGAGGGAGAGGGGGGAAGAGTTAAGTAATATATAATCTAATTTTTTTAATTAAAAATAAAAGATTCTTGGACTCAAATGTGCAACACGATGTACTGCTTATTATCATTCTATATAAGCACTTTTGGTAAATTTTTTTTCATGCATATGAAAAATAACTATGCGTAATCTATGTCAAGTCTCTAATTGTGGGGTTTATGTATTTGGGAAGTGTAATTAGTGTCATCATTAATCTTTTTTTTTTTTTTTGGAGTTAAGGATGAGGATTGAAATTTCACCTTTAAACTATTTTCAAATATCACTCATGTGTCATTGTTAAGAGAGATCTTTTTCAATAATAACACGAACACGACACGATATGAAAATCATAAAACTAATGTTGTGAATACCAAACACTTATCGGCAGATGTTTTCCAACTTTTGATAACTATTTAATAAATGTTTTACTTCTCCAAGTCTGATGTAAGAAAACAAAGCAATATGATGCAAATAAAGATTGTAGCATTAATTATTTTCCAATAAATGAGGTTGGCGGTAGTCTTAATGGGCACTATCCTTATTGCATATTAAAATCAGAATAATGTTATACTTATCAAATTATTTATTAAATTTTATATTTCAAATCAGGATAGTTGAATCAACAGAGTCCACTAATTTTTACTACACATTCGATGTATAAGATTTTGACACATTATTTGAGATTATAGGATTTGAAAAACATTGTTTTATCCTTAAAATTACGAATTCAAACCATATCATCTGGTCAAGGATTATAACAGTGAGGATGATAATCGAGTTAATCTACTCGAGCTTGGATCGTATAAATCTTAATTCGAGTTTGAATCGTCTTTTAAATGAATTGAATTTGAGTAATTTTTTAATCTTGTGTTCTAAAAAGTTCGGTCCGAACTTACAAAATTAGACCCGTTTATATATAAAATAGTCCAATTATTCGGACTCAATTCATCTTATAAACGAGTGAAACTCGAACAATTTTTTAGGCCGTTCCCTCCGATCTCTGCTCGCTCTAAGTTTGGTTTGATTATCGGTCTACCAGTAATTAAAAGTAAAGACGAAGGGCACGATGGGAAACCTGAACCCGGTATANAGTTCGGTCCGAACTTACAAAATTAGACCTGTTTATTTATAAAATAGTCCAATTATTCGGACTCAATTCATCTTATAAACGAGTGAACCTCGAACAATTTTTTAGGCCGTTCCCTCCGATCTCTGCTCGCTCTAAGTTTGGTTTGATTATCGGGCTACCAGTAATTAAAAGTAAAGACGAAGGGCACGATGGGAAACCTGAACCCGGTATAATTCTCCTCTCATGCTTTTGCCGCGTACTCGTTGCTTTTCTGGGTCGGTCGTAGTAGAATATATAGAACTCATAGAAGTCTCTGCCCTACTCCCAGGAGAGAGAGAGAGAGGGAGCACAACACACCACCACCATCTTAAGCAAATAAAGCACAGACACTCTCTTCATCTCTCTCTCACTACTCCTCAACGCTTCAAAGAAGGTATGGAGCACCCCNGTAGACGTCTCTGCCCTACTCCCAGGAGAGAGAGAGAGAGGGAGCACAACACACCACCACCATCATCTTAAGCAAATAAAGCACAGACACTCTCTTCATCTCTCTCTCACTACTCCTCAACGCTTCAAAGAAGGTATGGAGCACCCCTTTTGATCAATCTCTCGCTGCTTTTCGAAATTTCTCTTTATTTTTTTNATAGAAGTCTCTGCCCTACTCCCAGGAGAGAGAGAGAGAGGGAGCACAACACACCACCACCATCTTAAGCAAATAAAGCACAGACACTCTCTTCATCTCTCTCTCACTACTCCTCAACGCTTCAAAGAAGGTATGGAGCACCCCTTTTGATCAATCTCTCGCTGCTTTTCGAAATTTCTCTTTATTTTTTTCCTCTCTGATTTTATCAAAATTACCCCTTTTGATCATCTTTCTCTGTTCATGTGTGTGTGTGTACTCTCTTAATTTTGCCGCGATCTCACTGTGTTTTGATGTAACGGCAGTGATCCAGCTCAAATTAGGGTTTTTAATTGCGAATTTGTGCACAAAATTGTTTTTTAGGCTGTACTTGCAAAATTAAGGGGTTTGGTTGGGTTTTTTTGCGTGCGATTGTTGAGGATTTTTAAGTTTTTTGGGTGGATTTTTATCTTCACTGAGTTTCTGTTCAGAATTGTGGTATTTTTTTGTTGTATTTTGTGAATGAGACTGCTTGGTTGTGATTTTGGCTTGGATTTTGAATTGTGAGTGTGGTGTTTTTGTGGAATTGAGGTTGTGTAGTTGGGGATTTTTCAGGTGATTGTTTGACAAATTAGGGCTTTTGTGAATGAAGAAGGGTTCGAAAAGTGGTGCGTGCAAGTCTACGTCGCACCAGCTCTTCAAAGATAGGGCTAAGAACCGTGTGGATGATCTTGAAGGCATGGTCATTTATCTGAAATCGGCGAGGAAGGAGAGCCGTACGATCGATGTTGCTCTGCTGGAGGAGCAAGTTCATCAGATGCTTCGTGAGTGGAAATCTGAGCTTAATGAGCCCTCCCCGGCTTCTTCTTTGCAGGTAAGAAATACCTTTTTAAGACCCTTTAGTCTGCACACCCAATCACTCAAATATAGATGTCTATGGGTGCGAATAAAAATGCATGTGTTTGTGAATCCACGTATGTAATAATTTGGAGCTTATGATGCCATCATGTATATGCTTGTGTATAGGTATGATGCAATTATGTGTATCGGTGTATGACTATATGTATGCATGTGTTGTTTGTGTATGTGTTCATCCGTGCTGATGTGAGAGAGAGAGAAAGAGAGAGAGAGAGTTAGAGGAGGGGTTAGCATATTCATTAAGCCACATAACCACACCTGTTTTCTGAAAACGTGCTAAGTGTTTATGTTTATATGCATGTGATTGTCGATCGTGATGTAAATGGGCACTTGTGCTGGGTGGACTTTGGTCCACATGTATATGCATAGGCCTCTGTGTGTATGTGTGAGTGAGAGAGAGTTTTTTTTTCCATCTATATCCATGTGTTCGCGTGCATGTGTTTAGCTGCGCATACATGTTCATGCATTTATTTGTCATTCCATTACATACCTGTATAAGTTGTGCGTGTGCAAAATTGTGGTTTTTGATGATAGTCGATGATTGAGCAGGGAGGGAGTCTCGGGTCCTTTTCGTCGGACATTTGTAGGCTGTTGCAGCTTTGTGAGGAGGAAGATGATGCCACCAGTAAATTGACGGCACCAAAGCCGGAGCCAGATTCACAAAAAGTTGGCGAGGGTGCTGGTTTTCAAGAGGTATATGGTGGTTAGATTATTATTTTTCGTGTGTTTGTAAAATTGGTTTGGGTGATATTGATATCCACTTGCACTCTATGTGCGCACACAGAGGGGCAGCAAGGCAGTGTGCTGCGTTTTCATTAGCTCAATTCTGAGGGCGTGCAGCTTGTAATATCCAGTTTGTGCCATCAGCTGTGGTACCACAAAAAGAAAAGAAAATTATTCTTAAGTGGTGTTATGTTAGGAGGGATGTCGAGGTGGGTTCAAAACAGTGGATATTGTGTGATATACTAACAGAAATAGGAATAGTTTAATAGTTGAAATTTTTATATCCTGTGATCACAGAACATACTGGTGAGGGTCATGGGGCATATGATTAAATTTAGTTAATACAGATCTTACAGTGTATTAGGGGTGGCTCACAGTTCACACTCCAGCATAACTTTTCAGGCAATAGAGAGGAGAAACCAAAATGCCAGACAATATCAACCTACCCACTTACTATTGTAGAAATAGTTCCCTTTCTGATACTTCCTACTTCGTGTCTTGGCTTTTTGAATGTCGGACGTCGGAGGCATGAATCAGAACAAGTTTTATTTAATGTTCTTGTAAGAGTTGTTTTTATTACTTGTATGATTCCTTAGGCAACCCTTCTAAATGCTGTCTTAATGTTGTTTCCTTACTCCTTGCAATAGGAACAAAGTATTGGGATATGTGTTTGGCTAGAGGTGCCACATTTCACAATCTATTTGGGGTCATCTCTTCAAATGTCAAAGTCATCAGTTTTGTGTCATGAGTTTTACCTGCTGTCCCATTTATATTACTCTTTCCCCATTTGAATTATATGGTTTTCTCTGGGTATCAACAATTGGCCATGTGTTTGTTGGTGCTTGCTGCACATGATCAAACCTTTTGTGAATCCTTAGTCAATCTTTTCCTGTATAATCAGTCTTCTCTCCTGACATTCTGGTTTTATAATGATCTGTTTGTAAAACACGTATTTCCTGTTTGCATGTCAGGATGTCCTATCAAGAAAAATTTGGGGTTCAAGTTATCAACTGTATTCTCACCTAGTTTTATGATTATGGTGTGATTTCATGACTCTCCAAGATCACATCTTTATTTCATTGTCTAGCTTAGTTTTGCAGGCAACATTTTCTCTCCCTTTTCTCTTGTCCAGAGTTTTTTGTTTAAACTTCTGCTTTATATGTTTGATCCATGATAACAATAATAGTTACTATTAGGTGATTCTAGTTATGTTAATAACCTCCATTGCCTCATATGAAACTCTTATTGTACTATATCCAAGGTTAATTAGTTAATTGGGATTATTGTTCTATTGGCTAAAACTAATTTACCATAGAACATGTACCCTTTTTGTTTGATCTATAAGATTATTCACAAGCAGCTAAAAGTGACAATGAGTCAATAGAAGGACCTATTGTGTTTTAAAGTACATGTGTTTCTGGTGGTGGTTGTGCTATCATTTATATCCTCTTCAATCATTAGGTTGGTACTAGTTTCTTTCCCACAACCTGCCACATGATCTGTTTCAGCATATGTATGTCCTAAGTTAATAAATATTAAATAAGGTCTTCCTGATTCCTATTGACCTTTTTTAAATGAGTTTGGAGGGCTTACATATCCCTGTTGTAATTTGTTATATTCTTTTTTTTTTTTTTCAAATTTATGGATTGTCATTGTTTTCGTTCGTGTCAACCCCCGGGCCTGGGCAAGTTTATAAGTTGTCTATGTCAAGTTAGAAATTGCCTCTTGTGTTCTTCTTATGATGTTTAATGTTTTCTCAATTAACTAGAAGTTTTATGGCCTTGTTGAGTAATTATTTTCCTGTGGATTAGTTCTGGTAAGAAAAATGAAGCTTGATGGGCTTACCTTTGGCTTAACTCTTGTCCTTTTTAGGGGCTATTTAAACTTCAGATTCCTTAACTCTCTGGTGATTCCAACAAATTCAAACCTTGTAAGATAGCAACATGTTATGTAATCAATGTTCTTATATTATTTTGATTTCATCCATTTTACCAAACACTCTGGTTTCTGACTTTAAATGCACCTAGTTGAGGCCCTTTCTTTCCTTCATTCGTCATTTACCTCTTCATCTAGTCTAATGCCTTTATTGCATTTTTTGGTTTCTCATAGAAAAATCTAGTACGTTTTGGTTTTGCAGTACTACCATCTGAAATTCTATCATTCCACCATTCTATCGTTCCAGCATCTAATTTACTCAGTTATTTCCTTTAGTTTATTTGTCTGTCCATCATCTAATAGTTTTCTTTCTATCTTAGAGTTGGAAATAGGAGTTCATTAAATGTTCTGTTCTCTTTTTTCCTTTATGTGTACTTGATGGGTTATGAATGGATATTTGCTCACATATTGTGCAACTGCTTTGTTGCAGGTTTTTAGTGTGACAGAGGTGCCACATGAACAAGGCTTCCAGGTGGTTGATCAGTGCAAAGGTTCCCCATCAGTAGTTAACAATATGGGAGTGAATAACATGGGTCTTGCCACTCAATTGGACTTCCATTCATTTGATTTGCAGCAAGAGTTTGAGCAAAATTTCTTCACTGGATTTGATGGTACAGGTCTTGTTGGAGAAGATTCTTTGCCTCAGCTGTCTAGCTATCTTCCAAATATTTGCCCTCCACCTTCTGCTTTCTTAGGACCAAAATGTNGTCATTTACCTCTTCATCTAGTCTAATGCCTTTATTGCATTTTTTGGTTTCTCATAGAAAAAATCTAGTACGTTTTGGTTTTGCATTACTACCATCTGAAATTCTATCAGTCCACCATTCTATCGTTCCAGCATCTAATAGTTTACTCAGTTATTTCCTTTAGTTTATTTGTGTGTCCATCATCTAATAGTTTTCTTTCTATCTTAGAGTTGGAAATAGGAGTTCATTAAATGTTCTGTTCTTTTTTTTCCTTTATGTGTACTTGATGGGTTATGAATGGATATTTGCTCACATATTGTGCAACTATTTTGTTGCAGGTTTTTAGTGTGACAGAGGTGCCACATGAACAAGGCTTCCAGGTGGTTGATCAGTGCAAAGGTTCCCCATCAGTAGTTAACAATATGGGAGTGAATAACATGGGTCTTGCCACTCAATTGGACTTCCATTCATTTGATTTGCAGCAAGAGTTTGAGCAAAATTTCTTCACTGGATTTGATGGTACAGGTCTTGTTGGAGAAGATTCTTTGCCTCAGCTATCTAGCTATCTTCCAAATATTTGCCCTCCACCTTCTGCTTTCTTAGGACCAAAATGTTCACTTTGGGATTGTCCCAGACCTGTTCAAGGATGGGGTCAAGACTATTGTAGTGGTTTTCATGCCGCACTTGCACCAAATGAAGGCCATCCTGGTATGGCTCCTGTTCTACGGCCTGGAGGCATTGGCTTGAAGGATAATTTACTTTTTGCTGCCCTTTGTGCCAAATCCCAAGGAAAAGATGTCGGTATTCCAGAATGTGAGGGGGCAGCAACTGCAAAATCCCCATGGAATGCTCCTGGTAAGAATTTTTTGCTCTTCTATGCCATAAATGTGTTGTCTGCCTGCATGTTATCTTCGCTAAGTTAGGGCAGAGTTTGTGTAGTCATTCATTGATAAATGTCTGTTTGTGAGTTTTTAATGACCATTGATTCCATTTTTATTATTGCAGAATTTTTTGATCTTACAGTGCTTGAGGGTGAAACAATTAGAGAGTGGCTCTTTTTTGATAAGCCTCGAAGAGCATTTGAGAGTGGGAATAGAAAGCAAAGGTCACTGCCTGATTATAATGGACGGGGCTGGCACGAGTCAAGGAAGCAAGTGATGAATGATCATGGGGGGCTGAAGCGATCCTACTACATGGATCCACAGCCAATGAAGAATCTTGAATGGCACCTGTATGAGTATGAGATCAGCAGATGTGATGCTTGTGCCTTGTATAGATTGGAACTCAAGCTTGTTGATGGGAAGAAGAGTCCCAAGGGAAAGATATCTAACGACTCAGTTGCTGATCTTCAAAAGCAGATGGGAAGACTTACTGCTGAATTTCCTTTAGACAACAAGCGGTCTGTTAAGGGAAGGGCAAGATCCAATTTAAAGAATGGCAATGGAAGTGTCTATTCTGCTCCAAACCAGACGGAACCTGCAAGTGAAGGGTATGCAACAAGTGGACAGTATGACTATCTTGTTGATAATATAAGTGGCTACTATCTGACGTAAATGAAGAAACTTAGATCTATGTGGAATAAGAAGCATTTATTGCTGCTACACATCAATCGTGTTTTTCACTCAGCCCTTAGGCCGCAGTGGATATTTTAGGTTTTCTCGCTTCATGTCATTGGTTTCGATATCTAATCAACTAAACCTCCTTATGTCACAGCCAGATATTGTCAATAGTTCATTGTCGTCTGAGGTACAGGTGCTGCATCCGACTGTTTTATATGATGCAGCGGATTCAAACTGCAGCAAGATGGTCTACAATTGTCAAATTTGATGTTATTACTCCATTTCTCTTCTGTAACCTTTTGTGTAGTGGTGTACACCAAAAAAATAGCTAAAGGTGTCACCAGAATCATATGTGCTGAATGCACAATATGGGTTATAACATTTTCCAGACTTTCAGGTTTTAAGAATTTCATGCTAATTATCTGAGGACAGCGTTCATGGTAGACATTAGTGGCATTGTGTAACTTCCAGTTGCTTGGTATATAAAAGGGATATTGAGTTCTGTCTATCTGGTAAGCAATCTCGAGAATGTGTACATGGCTAGTACCAAATTTAGCTATATTTCTATTTGGCATTAAGTGAGCTGCAGTGCAGTTAGTTCCATTTGTCTGCTGTTTAATAATTCTAATGTTTCATGTATCTTTTTGTTCGATACTATGAGCCAGCATGGTATGAACAGTTTTCTCACAAGCAGAGGAGTAAGGTTGTGTACATTTAATTATTTTGTAATGGGGATGTTAAGATTGTGTACATCTAATCATTTCGTAACGGGGATGTTAGCCTCGGGAATTGAACCACGAGTCAGCATGATATTGATCCACATGGGCAGGTTAAATTAGGGTTTATTGCTACATTGTTGTTGCCACAATTATTCATCTTATATCAATGTCATTGGGTTGCTGAATTTTGTTGTGCTCATGTTACTTACTGCCTTTGTCTGGTGAAGAAGCAAAGATTTGCCATTGCATCGATCTGTAAGCTTAACTATAGCAGATGCAATTGCATTCACCTAGAAGCTCTAGTGTAGATTTATGCCGTCCTCCCGCTGGACAGATTCTATCCATGCCCACATTAAAGAGGTCAAACCTAGAGTGATCGACAAATATTCATCTAGACATTGTACAATGCNATCGATCTGTAAGCTTAACTATAGCAGATGCAATTGCATTCACCTAGAAGCTCTAGTGTAGATATATGCCGTCCTCCCGCTGGACAGATTCTATCCATGCCCACTTTAAAGAGGTCAAACCTAGAGTGATCGACAAATATTCATCTAGACATTGTACAATGCAGATTCAAGTTCGAGAATTAGTCTATCGATAATGGGAAGAAATTTTTTTATCACTCATCTCTTCCAACTCTAGTTTATATAACGAGAGCTTTGTCCATGAAGTACGACCTTTGTCAAAAGAAGAGGACAAAATAATCTCCCGTTCTGAATTAAGGTTACAATCTTGTATAAGAGTTGTCTTAGTGTAAGAATGGATTATCCCAAAATCTTAAAAGTCCTGTCCAAGATCATGGTCTACCGCAAAATCAAAACCCTGTGGAGTTTTTGCTCATGGTAATAGAAACTTCATCCGTCTCCAACAAATTCCATTCTCTCTACCAGAGCAAGGGAAAATTAAAGCAACTGCATTGTGAGATTTATCCCTACACAGGATAGCCAAAGTCACTATTATGGCCTTGTTTGAATGTCTGATCTATGGGTATGACTAATAAGAGCCAATACACCCTAACTTTCTTTTGGTCGATGCTACAGTAGAGGGGAGGGGGGAGTTTCGAAATCGGCGCCCATGGGTACGGCACGGCTAATAAGAGAGAGATTATTGATCTATAAAACCATACAATTAGGTCAGAGAAAGTAAAATAGGTTAATGTGGGAGAACAAGAGATATGAAAAGTTTCAGCTCATATCTGGATTGATTGAAATATAGACATGAAACATGATATCTAATAATATCAAGAATAATACCAGAAATAAATAGAAATATATCTCCATATCACGTCTGCTGCAAGACTCAATAACTAAACCTGATCCCCGACCTTTAGTTGCATACCTAAAATACAAGCAACAATCTCCAGGTACGACCTCAAGTAAAGATGACTAGATCGTTCATATCATCTCACAGAAAAGTTCAGTGTTTTCAACCTAGATCAAGAGTATAGATCGAGCTCTTTTATTCACAAGCTGATCAAAAGAACAAGAAGTCACCCCAAACAGAATGACCTCTCACAGACGTGAAGGATCATAGCATATCTAAGCTTGGAAAAGAATATCGATGCCACCTCATCATATTCTAAAAAGTCATGTCACACNCTCTCACAGACGTGAAGGATCATAGCATATCTAAGCTTGGAAAAGAATATCGATGCCACCTCATCATATTCTAAAAAGTCACGTCACATCTGGACAATATAACATGACCAAAAATTTCCCCAACAAAACCAATTCATTATGACTTTCTTTTGGTCGATGCTACAGTACAGGGAGAGTTTCGAAATTGGCACCCATGGNTGTCACACCTGGACAGTATAACATGACCAAAAATTTCCCCAACAAAACCAATTCATTACGACTTTCTTTTGGTCGATGCTACAGTACAGGGAGAGTTTCGAAATTGGCACCCATGGATATGACTAATAAGTAATAAGAGAGATTATTGATCTATAAAATCATACAAAATATAGAGACATGGAACATGATATCGATTTTNGGATATGACTAATAAGTAATAAGAGAGATTATTGATCTATAAAATCATACAAAATATAGAGACATGGAACATGATATCGATTTTTTAAACAATTTTTTTAAATAAAACAAATTCAGTCAAAAATAAAAAAATAAAATACATGTTAATTATTATATCGTAAATGTGATATATATGCATCCAAATACATGACTGATACACTTACATATGTGCTATACTAGAGAACCACATTATTCATGGGATTAAACTCAGAGGAATGCAGAAAGTTCGAATAGGAAAAAAAAAATACAAAAATACTTGAACAACATTCGCTGTCTTACTCGACTTGCTGCCCGTCACTAACATCATAGTTTGGTTTGTGACTATAGAGTTCTAACTTGAGTAAACTAAGAGAACTGTAGTTCCCTCTTGTCTCTTTTTTTATGAACATGGAATGATCAGCATTGTTTCTCTAGAAATTAATCCATGTTCATCATAACCAAACTTCATATCTCGAACCAAGCCCGAAGAGACTGGTTAAGAACACATACCACTCCAAGGAATTTTCAAGCCTATTCACTTCATCTCAAAGATGGGAATCATATCACAACCAAGCTTCTTAACAAAATGACATCAGGAAATGTTCCCCCAAGAGAATACCCCAAATTTTTTTTTTCCATGCATTAACACAATTTTTCAGATGTCGGACATGAGCGATAACAAGTGTTCAGCCATCTAAGTTATGATACGAAACAAGTTCAAATCCGGCAATCAGCCTTTCCAAAAATAAAGGCAAGACTGAGTGCGGCTTATTTCTCCCAGAAATCCGATATAACGTAGCTACAATAGAACATAAAGTAGAGCGAAACATATACAATACTTGATGCATTACAATTTTCAAGCCATGGAAAGCCTCTGTTATCTATGATTTTCAATCAGAGCTAACTTCCACCAAACACATGCAAATTATTTCAAATATATTGCTAACAAACAAAGCATAGGTTTGTGTTCCACCAACAAAACACATAACAGTAATATAAGTGCCACTATTGTTCCTGCCAAGAACTCACTGAAATTCAAACTTCAGAAAGCTCCAGGCAGTCTGTAGCTACTGCATTTAAAAGTGAACTGGCTGCCAGGCCTCACTGCAGGCTAGTACTAGCACCCTCATCCTCGAGGCTGTTGACTCGTTCGCATTCATCAATCCACTCACTGTATCTGCATAAATTTGAATTTCAATAAAACAGAAGCAGTTGGGGAGAGAGAAAAAGAAGGAAAGGGAGGGAGGGAGGGGGAGGGGGCAGAAGAATTGAATGTGTTCATGTTAAATTCACTTACATGTCTATTGGCTCTGTTAAAGCTGCAGACAACAGAAAATAAATTTAGTCATTTATGAATTTTTGAACTTTCAGATTCCATTTCCATATGAACTTGCATAAGGATAATTGGCTACAGAACATCATATGCATGCATGTAGAACAGTTACTCTATGCATCCGGCTCCATATAAAAACCATAAAGACTCGGGATTAATCAAGCTGGCCCAAGAGTGTAACATCAAGTCAAAAGTGGATTCTTCTAGGAAATCAAACCAAGTGAAAGGGAAAAAAAGGTGGTTCAACTTCTCCAATCAATCATGGATGGGTTATAGGATTCATGGGCATCTGTGGATTCATGCGAATCAATTTTGGATTTATTATGAGCAAAGAACCATCCCATTCATCAGCCATGATCCAGTCTTAATGATGATGATAACTACCTCTTGCATTTAGAAAAGTATCGGATACCATAACAATATAATTTCTTGTTTTTTTTTTCTGACCCCTTTAAACTCTACCCGCTCTTCATTGTATTTCACTAAACAAAAAAAAATCTGTCCAGAGGATATGGATCTCTAATTTTCTCCACCTGGAAGTTTCAGGAAGTTGTTTTCTAAAACACAAGTATGGCCCCAAAACATACCTGTGACAGTGGTGCTGAAGCTCTCTTGGCAAATCCTGCATATGGCTTCACCAATCAAGTTCTTCATATCACTGAAACCAGACAAGTGAAACATGCCACCATTAAATGGAGCAACCAGCAATTATAGCCTTTGAGTCACCCTCAATATTTTAGACAGGACCAATAATCTTCGACAATTATTACTATCTGCCTCAGAAAAACTTCAGAACTGTTAATGGAATGAGGTTTCATTAGAAATACAACGACGACGTCTCAAGTGATGCTCCTAATCAACTTTCTTCTAACTTTATATTCATTTTTACAAATATTTCAAGCAGTGACCAAATGGAGACAGACAGCCATATGTGGCGGCTCTCAAATAGTTTTGACAGCTCTTTCACAAAATATGGTTGTAGACTCGCAGTCATACTAATTTCAAACATGCTTACATGAGGCACTCAACGCTGGTACCATGATTGCAGAAGGGACAGCTGAAAACAGTATCAAGTTTATCCATTCGCTTCTTTGGAGGTGGCTTCGCACTTGACTTCCTCTTCCCCATGGATCAAGCAGATTTCTTCAACATGAAGCAAGACAAAAGTTAGGATGCAGGAAGAAGTAAAGCAAATAATCGATAATAAAAGGTTGCATAAGAAGGCCACTAATAACCGCATACAAGCCAACCACATCTTTTTCACAGGATGCTCAAACATGTTAAAAAACTATTTGCACTACTTTGAAGAGCTGCAGATCCCTTGTCTGTATATCAACTCGCAAGAAGCTTTTCCAAGAAAACATATATCACTCGCGTGTTTTCTGAGATCGCTTGCACCAACAAATGTTCAAAGGATGAGACATGTTATATAGCTGAAAGTAACTTTCTGGAAATAAACCGACTGTTCTAAAAAAAATTGGCATATCCTAACACAGCACTTTCAAGATACCTTTAAAGAAGCACTGAAAAGCAGACAAGGAAATTGGCTCAAAGAAAAAGTAATTTCAAGTGACAATAAAATGTTGACGTTACAATTCCAACACAAAAATCCATTATACATTTTTGTCATATTCAACACGAAATACCTGCAATTTCAATGACCACTTTTCAAAATACATTATTAATTTCTCTCGTTATTTTCCCCGCTCATTAGCAACAAAAAACAAAATCCTTAAACCTACCTCAAGATGGGATTTGAACCTCGCATCCACACATTACTAGCCCCAAGTATTTTAAACACAATTTCAATTGACCATAACTGTAAAATTCAAGCTAAGCATTAACCTCCTTTATGATCAGACTAAGCTTGAACCTCAAATGAATTCAATTGCCCATTCTGTCACATTTTTTACCCACTTGAATTGCTTGGCTTTTACTTTCACTTTTTCTTTTCATCTTCCTATTTCATACTTCCAAAAATTCTTAGTTTTTCTTTCAGTTTTTCCAAAGTGGAATCCTAAAATTACTGATGTATATTAAACACTTACATACGCAGAGATGGGAAATCAAAACCAATAAACAGACTTTAAACTGGGTTTTCATGGAACATCAACAAAACCCTAAAAATTTTAGTTTCAAGAAAAAATTAAACATGAAAACAAAGATAAATACGTTTTAGACGGCAAATACAACATAGTACTTACCTGAATTTGATGAATTGATGCATATTAAACACTTACATTCACATACATGGGAAATCAAAACCAATAAACATGCTTTGAACTGGGTTTTCATGGAACATCAAGAAAACCCCAACATTTTTTGTAACAAGAAGAAATTAGACATAAAGACAAAGATAAATAAGTTTTAGAGGGCAAATACAGCATAGTACTTACCTGAATTTGATTGAGAACAATACGATGAAAACTTCTTGTCCGAAATCTAGAAATGATAAACTCGACAAAGATCAGAGAATTGGGATATTACAAAGGAATCGGACTCAGATATTTAACGTAATTGAACAGAGTCGAACTGAGAATTCTTACCGCTAGATATGAAGAGTCAAGAAGAAAGCCCCAATCATCTTCAGACACACATATGGTGGAGTCGGACTCTTAGATTAGATGCTCATTTAACGACGTCGTTTTAGGTGGGGNAGATATGAAGAGTCAAGAAGAAAGCCCCAATCATCTTCAGACACACATATGGTGGAGTCGGACTCTTAGATTAGATGCTCATTTAACGACGTCGTTTTAGGTGGGGGTATACAATTTAGAGTACATGCGTCACTTCAGTAATGCTACACTGATCAAATTTTGAAACAAAATTTAGAGCCCAAATAATATGCCTTTATTGTTTTTTTTTTTGGGTGTCAATTAAAGTCTTCAATTTTCTAATTGTGTCAATTGAACCAATCTATCTGCTTATGTTAGAGTGTGTCACTTACGTGATTATACATGATACAAAAAAATAAAATGGCTTAAATGACATAATTAAAAAGTTTAGAGGTTCAATTAACAAAAAAAAATAAGGACTTAATTGACACAAAAATTATAATTTAAAGGTCATATATATAGTTTATTCTAATCATTTGTGTCACGTGATACAAAGTATTTTAATTGATACAATTAAAATGTTAAAGGGACATAATTGACATGAAAAAATTCAATAACTTAATTAATACAAGGGTCCTAGTTTGAGGCATATATGTGCAGGTTATTCTCATATTTATATACTTTCTCACAATAGGTTGGGTATATTGAACCAATCGAATTCGAATCGAGCCTCAATATATTTTTTTTTCATGAGTCGATCCTATCGAACTTTGATGATACATGAATAAGAATTTTAACTAAGTATAAGCTCAGGAAGTGAGGTCAGACAAGGAGGTTAGACAAAGAGGTTAGATGGGGAGCTTAGAGCTCTGAAGCCCAATTCCCGAGCTATTCTCTGATGAGACATCAGAGGAGCCAAGGAAAGAACAATTGGTCAATAGCCCACAAAACAACTAAAGGGCAGTGATCAAGGCGTGAAACTCTCAATCACCCAAGATCCCCTCTTGAAATCAAGGAAAGTCCGACGGATGAAGAGCAAGGATCTCGCTGCAGATCCTGTAGAGATACAAATTGTGTTATAAATACTGTACAGTGCCTCCTTGAGAGGCAAGAAAACCTAATACCATAGATGATACTTTGTAAATTATATCCACCGTGAATAAAGATAAAAGGAATAGGAGACTCCCTTGAAGAGTGGATTAGTCGGGCTCTCAAGCCGGTGAATCACTGTAGTTGTACTGTGTTTTACTTCGAAGATTCCTTAAAAAAAACCTTGTCATTGTTTTGCACGAGCCTTGTAGCTCAGACCCACACTTGTTCATATGATCCACAAGTTCTGCTCATTTCTTTGACCACACCATCAGTTTGGCGCTATCTGTGGAAACGATTGTTCTCGATACAAGTACACTGATTCTTCAGTAACTGATGGTCTCAACCTGTAATGTGAACAGAAGCCAAGTGAATCCCTCGCGAGTGCAGAACCAACAGGAGAATACTAGTAGACAACATGAAGATCCACAAGAATTCTTTCCCACCGCTGATGTCAATCCTCCTAAGGTGGATCCTCCCACGAACAACGAGTTGAAGGCCCTCTGCCTGGTCAATCAACGTCTGTTAAAGCAGAATGAGGAACTCCTGAAGNGTGGAGTCGGACTCTTAGATTAGATGCTCATTTAACGACGTCGTTTTAGGTGGGGATATACAATTTAGAGTACATGGGTCACTTCAGTAATTCTACACTGACCAAATTTTAAAACTAAATTTAGAGCCCAAATAATATGCCTTTATTGTTTTTTTTTTGGTGTCAATTAAAGTCTTCAATTTTCTAATTGTGTCAATTGAACCAATTTATCTGCCTATGTTAGAGTGTGTCACTTACGTGATTATACATGATACAAAAAAATAAAATGGCTTAAATGACATAATTAAAAAGTTTAGAGGTTCAATTAACAAAAAAAAATAAGGACTTAATTGACACAAAAATTATAATTTAAAGGTCATATATATAGTTTATTCTAATCATTTGTGTCACGTGATACAAAGTATTTTAATTGATACAATTAAAATGTTAAAGGGACATAATTGACATGAAAAAATTCAATAACTTAATTAATACAAGGGTCCTAGTTTGAGGCATATATGTGCAGGTTATTCTCATATTTATATACTTTCTCACAATAGGTTGGGTATATTGAATCAATCGAATTCGAATCGAGCCTCAATATTTTTTTTTTCATGAGTCGATCCTATCGAACTCTGATGATACATGAATAAGAATTTTAACTAAGTATAAGCTCAGGAAGTGAGGTCAGACAAGGAGGTTAGACAAAGAGGTCAGATGGGGAGCTTAGAGCTCTGAAGCCCAATTCCCGAGCTATTCTTTGATGAGACATCAGAGGAGCCAAGGAAAGAACAATTGATCAATAGCCCACAAAACAACTAAAGGGCAGTGATCAAGGCGTGAAACTCTCAATCACCCAAGATCCCCTCTTGAAATCAAGGAAAGTCCGACGGATGAAGAGCAAGGATCTCGCTGCAGATCCTGTAGAGATACAAATTGTGTTATAAATACTGTACAGTGCCTCCTTGAGAGGCAAGAAAAACCTAATACCATAGATGATACTTTGTAAATCATATCCACCGTGAATAAAGATAAAAGGAATAGGAGACTCCCTTGAAGAGTGGATTAGTCGGGCTCTCAAGCTGGTGAACCACTATAGTTGTACTGTGTTTTACTTCGAAGATTCCTTAAAAAAAACCTTGTCATTGTTTTGCACGAGCCTTGTAGCTCAGACCCACACTTGTTCATATGATCCACAAGTTCTGCTCATTTCTTTGACCACACCATCAGTTTGGCGCTATCTGTGGAAACGATTGTTCTCGATACAAGTACACTGATTCTTCAGTAACTGATGGTCTCAACCTGTAATGTGAACAGAAGCCAAGTGAATCCCTCGCGAGTGCAGAACCAACAGGAGAATACTAGTAGACAACACGAAGATCCACAAGAATTCTTTCCCACCGCCGATGTCAATCCTCCTAAGGTGGATCCTCCCACGAACAACGAGTTGGAGGCCCTCTGCCTGGTCAATCAACGTCTGTTAAAGCAGAATGAGGAACTCCTGAAGCTTTTACAGCGATCGTAGGAGAAACAACCAGCCTAAGGAGGCTAGGATAATCCCCCTCACAGGAAACAACGACATCTCGACCCATTCAGGGAGGCCGAAGAAGGAGGAGAAAATAGCCAGGCTCCCCAACCCCCTCTGAGGAATGTAGACAATGAAGAGGTACAAAGTCAAAGTAATGGGAATGAGAAAAATAACCTTCGCCTAGACCAGCAGGAGCGAAAAGACTAATATTGGGAGTAGCACTTCAGAGATATCCGACAAGAACTCAACCACATGAAGGAGGCCGTGAGGAGTAAAACTCCAGTAATCATAATGCCTTGGTGCAGCAAACTGAGTCCCCGTTTACTCTTGGGGCGTTGCATTTTCCCCTTTCGTCAAAATTTAGAATGCCGCAGGTAGAAGCTTTTGATGGAACCAGAGACCCTATGAACTACCTGAATACTTATAAAAATTAGATGGAGCTGCATGAATATCAAGATCCTGTTCGTTGTCGTGCCTTTGCCATATCCCTAAAAGGATCAGCCTTAGCATGGTTTAACAAGCTCCCTTAGCCTCGATCTCCTCTTTTAAAGAACTCTCTATATCCTTTGTGTCTCATTTCATCGGAGCTCGGACATACAGAAAGTCGAGCTACCACTTGTTGAATGTGAAGAAGGGACCTCAAGAAAACCTAAGGTCCTATGTTCAAAGGTTTAACTCGAAATCCCTAAAGGTAGACATCCTAGATGAGAAATTTGTAATTACTACTTTTATAGCAGGATTGGGAGTACAGTCAAAGGACTTGATGTTCTCCATATCCAAAAATCCTCAAGCAAGCATGGTCGAGGTGTTGACTAAAATAGAGAAGTATATAAATAGCGAGGAAGCTCTCCTCTCAAAGGTAGGGAGCTTGTCTTCGCTGAAAGGAAAAGAGAAGGAGGAAAAGAAAAGGGATCGAAGTCCCAGGAAAGAAAGAGAAAGAAACAGGTCTCCAAGAAGAGACAGATCTCCCAGGAAAAATAGAGAACGTTTCCCAAAAAGGAGGGGAAATGTCAGGGATCGTTTAAGTCCCCCACAGCCTGAGTTGCAACCGAGGTATGCACCTTAACAATATACTCCACTCACTGCTACAGTGTTTCAGATCCTATATGAGGTGCATAATGAAAAGTTTTTAAGATGACCTTCTCGAATGAAGGCAGATCCAGCAAAAAAGGATCATACAAAGTACTATGAGTACCATAGAGACCACGGTAACCATACTGATGACTACATTCAGTTGAAGAAGGAGATTGAGTTCTTGATCTAAAAGGGGCAGTTGCATCCTTTTATTGCCCATGATAATCAGAACAGAGCTCCACCGCTCCCAGTACCTCAGCAGCAAGCCCCTGTGTAGCATCAGCAACCCCTAGGGGAAATTAGAGTAATATCAGGAGGATTTGCAGGAGGGGGGAATCCAACTCAGCTAGGAAAGCTCACATGCGTAGAATCAAAGCTGATGAAACGCTGAAAGTACATACTGTGTCCAAGAATCCACGTCTGGACATGTCCATCACTTTCTCAGATTCAGATCTGGAAGGCTGCCACCATCCCTATGATAATCCTTTAGTTGTAAGAGCGGTTGTGGTCAACAGACCTGTTTATCGAGTACTGATTGACAACGGAAGCTCTACATACATCATCTTTGCGCCAGCGTTTGATAAGATGAAGATAGACAGAGAAAAGCTCGAGCCAGTAACTACCCACCTGTTGGGGTTCTCAGGAGAAAATGTACTACCATTGGGGTCAATATAGCTCATGCTTAAAATTGGGGGACCCTCCTTGTCAGACCTCTACTTCTGTGAAATTTTTAGTAGTTGATGCACCATCGGCGTATAATATGTTGCTTGGGAGGCCTTCCCT